CGAGTCATCAGCCAAGAAGGGCCTTAGACATGGAACCAAGGTGCAGCACATTTGAGAGGGACGCAGAGGAGAGAAGCCCAGACAGCATGTGAGCAGCATGTGAGAGTGGAGCTGCAGCTCACCCAGACTGAGGCGAGCAGGTGGCGGCCCTGGGACTCTCGGAGAACCCCAGAGATAAGGAGGGGGTCCAGGAGGCTAGTGGCTAGAGAGGTAGGGCACTGACAATATGCTTCTTCAAAGTGCAGTCACCGCAGTCGGAAGCGATAGAGAGAAGCGGAAGCGATAGAGAGAAGCGAAAGCACAAGAAGAAAAAGTAACGGGAACCATGTGGCTCACTAGCTCAGTGTTGAGCATGTTCACAGAAGCCCAGCAGCGTTCATGATTTTCAGATGCAAGACTCAGCCTACAGATGCAGCAGGAAGGTTGGCCTGTAACAGTTACAGAGAAGCCCTGCTGGTTTTCTGTCAGCCCGGTGCTGCCGTTGCTAGCTCCTCCTCCTTTTCTTATCCTTAGATAAATGAAAGTGTTTACTTATCCCCCAGCTGCTGGAAATGCTGCCAGCCCACTGGCCTCAGCTGTCTGTCCCCGCGGGAATGGGCCTCAGCAGAGGACATGCATGCTCTGAAATTCAACCTCCCCCTCCAGCCGGCCCTGCTCCCTCGCCTGCCCGACAGAGCCCTCGCCACGCACCTGCCTGCCCGTCTGCTTCCTGGAGAATCCAACCTGTGACAGTCTGTGCCGGAAGTGGACTGGCCCAAAGAAGCCCCAAGCGCCAGACAGTAGCCATCTGTGGGAGCCGGGTCATCTGCCACCTGGCTGGCAGTGAAGACGCCGTCACTGGGGCAGGCAGCATATCCATCTCCCCGGCCCAAGGTGGTGGCACAGTTGTTAAATGTTTCCCTGGTGGTGGGCTCAGAGGGCACTGTCTGTGAGGGGACACTCAGTGTCCATAATAGGTTAGTCTGTAGCAACAAAAACAGGCTGGAGACCCGGTGACTGCTGACGGGAACGGGCGAGACCCACGGGTACACCTGTCTCTAGGTGTTGACTGTGCTCTACCTTGATTGTCCTGTCACCCTACCAGCAATCACTGCAGGGTACCTGTGCCTTCCACTGTGAGTTGATGGAGTGAGAACACTGACCTATTCACACTGTCCTGCATCTCCTCCTCTGTCTTGCTTCTGAGTGTGTCCCAGCTCAGTCGCCTGGCATCGCCTGGGAGTTAGAGGCGCCGTCCGGACCTACTGAGTCAGAACATGTCTTGCTCACCAAGTCCCCTGTGGCTCACGTGCACATTAAAATTCGAGACGTGCTGGTCTGGGCATCACGGAGGCCAGGGATCCAGGCAGGTGTGAGCAGGTTTGCATGCTGGATTTCACTGAGAGCAGATGGGGAATTTTTTTAAAGTTGTTGATTTCTTTTACATCTTTGCAAATTCTCTTTAGTGATTAAGCAAATGAAAGAAAAGCAACGGGGAACAGGAGCAGGGAAGTGACATGACGCCCAGGGATGGAGCATGTCACAATCGTCCCCAGGCAACACTGTCTGTGATGGGTTTTTCTTTTCTTTTGCCATCTGGAAATCAGGGCCAGAACTTTCCCTGCTCAGCTGCTGTTCCAGTTGTTGGAAACCCTGCCCGCGGACAAGGCTCCCGCTCTTCTCCACCAACCTTGGGAAACGCCTGAGGGCATGGGGAGCTGAACACTCATCTTTTGCCCCTTAAGCCCTGAGGTCCTTGAAAATATTTATTTGCACTCTGATGAATACCGATGCTTATTGTTTGACTATGCAGATTACATTTTTAAAAATTAAACATCTCTCTGAAATGATGAAACACATCACAGATCGATAATAGACTTAGTCTATTTTACCTGGGGTGGTCCAGGTAAACTATTGATACAGTAACTGCGTACTCACTGTTCTCTGGGTTCAAACCACGTATCTGAACATACGCTGGTGGCACAATGGGTTAAAGCACAGCACTGGGCAGCCAGGCTTTGCTGCTTCAGCGCTGGCTCCTAGGACCCTCCACCAGGAAGCCCCCCACAGGGCGCAGGAGACCTCTCCTGTCTCCGGGCTGCTCCCCTCAGGGTGTACTTCATTGCCTGTTCTGCTCCCCCACTGTGTCTGGTGATCCTCTCACTGCCCCGGCACCCTTGGCCTGTACCCCAATTCTGTATGCATAAGTAAATCTTTTTTTAAAAATAAAGCTGCCGGGCTCTCCCTGGTGGCGCAGCGGGTTAAAGCACAGCACTGAGAAGCTAAGGCCACTTCCGCATGGGTTCGATTCCCGCCTGCCCCGGAGGTGACCACATGGCGCGGCAGACCTCTCCTGACCCGCTCGCTGCTCCCCTCAGCAGTGTACTTCCTCAATCTGCCTGTTCTGCTCCCCGCTCTGTCTCTGGTGAAGCCTCTCGCCGCCCCTGAGCCTCTGGTCTGTACCCCAGTTCTGTATGCACAAATAAATAAATCTTAAAAAAAAATAAAAAAATAAAGCTGCCATTGGCAACACCCCCCCCCCCAAATGTTTCAACCCCCCAGGGCCAAAAGCAAGCGCATCTTCTTCACATTGCTCCACAGAGGCCATGCGGCCTCTGTCTGGCCCCATGCTGCTCCTTCCTTCTACAGGCTCCTCTCCAGCTTCCTCTCTTCCTGGCTCAGCTCCACCCTCCCTTGGGTGGGGCAGGAACCGGAACCTCCCTTTTCCTGGGGACCATCGTGCTACAACCGGGGTCAACCACATGTCATTCAGTGAAGCGCTCAAAGCACCCCTTTCCTCCAGGAACGGAGGGGTGGGGTGGCACAGACCAGCTGTTCAGTCACAAAGCCGCATTTTGTAGGTTTGTGTGGTAACTCAACTTACAAAACCGTCCCATGGAGAAAAATGTGTTCTCAGCACCAACGAGAACTTTTGGAAACCAACATTTGCAAACAACCCGCAATACCTGGCATGCAATTCGTGCACTTATCTTTAAACCCCTCCTCTCCCTCGGATGCTCTCAAAGGTATCTGAGCATTTTCCTCGGCGAGCTAACTGCCAACATCGACGTGCAGTCGATATCCGGAAGCGACGGTTACCCAGTTTAGTATGATTGAGACAGGCAGTAAGTCTTAAAATTTTATTTATCCTCCCGTCCTCAAAACAGTCTGTGAGTTGATGGAGTGAGAACACTGACCTATTC